AAGTTGTTTCAATAAATTGGTACGCTCCCAGGGGCTACCCCTTCAGGGTAGATCGCCGCAGTACTAAAGAATCGTTTAGCTCGGTTGATAGTAAGCAGGATTGGAATTAGAAATGTGCAGGCCCTAACCAGTTCGTATTTTAAAATCTTGCACCCGGCGCCACTTACGTTTGAAGCACGCCCCTCTCTCCTGGTTGGTGACCCATCGAAATTTGGTTATTTTTATCTCTGTTGTGGGGTCCTCGGGGTCACAGCCCTGGTAGTAAGCCATCACCGACAAAGTCTGTAAGTCCCGGCTGCAGTTGCAGTCGTTAGCACCCGCCAATCCGCACTGGGCCCGCGTGGTGGGTCGTGGCCCAATCTCCCTATCGGTCTAATAGGGTCTAAATAAATCATCGGTCTGGTAGACCAATGCGCGGGTATTCGAAGGTTAATTACAGATGAACTTATTGATCATGCCATTTTATGTTTACAAAGGAACTCGATGGTGCAAGTGGCTAACGCATCTCAGGCTGCAATCGTGAAGGTTAAGGAACCTTTGCATTGGCAGGTCCTAGGATGGGTGACCAAAGTTTGCTGTAGTCCTCCTCAAACTGCTTTTTTTACAATAAATAGGCTTACGCTTGACGGCCACGCGACTGATGAAGAGCGACGTAGCAGCCTAAGGTGCTTCGTCGTTCGGCAGGCAAGTAAAGCCATTGGTGCCGGCTACATCTTCAATCGGTAACTCCGACTAATATGCAGTGGATCAGGCGTGGTGGATTATGGTCCATTGCCCATTTCCCAAGACCTGTGCCCCAGCAGTGGGGATATTACCTAGTCCAAAAATGATGATAAGTTTGCTAAGTCTTGTAACTAAATTTTTTGTTTTCAAGAACTTATATTAGTTTTTTTCAAATACACACTCACACACGCACATCTTTGTTATATCATAAAAAAATATACTCATTCACACTGTCTGAAAAATTATATGATATAAAATTTTCACACATGAATAATATACTAAAATACTCAAACTTTATAGACAACCGAGGACACTTCAGTGACGAGATAAACAATTGGAATGTATTCATGCGAATGAAAAATGCTAATAATGGCAGTAGAAGAAACGGCTTGAATTCCGCTGCAGATAATAAAAGCATATAAGCATAATCAAATCATAATTACAGCCAGGTATAATATGTTCCGGTAACGTTTTAGTCCTAAGCCAACCAATATAGCAAACTAGCTGTGCCCCGCGGTGCTACCAGCGGTTTATTAGGGATATTTTCTCGCAGTAAAACGTAGCCTATAATATGTTAATTAATCCAGGATGTCAGCTAACTCCATACCAAATTATATTAAAATCGTTCCAGCCTTTCAGACGTGAAGAAGTAACAGACATACACACTCACAAACTTTCGCCTTTATAATATTTGTGTGATATGACGTCTTCGAAATGGAGCGGTTTGAATGTTGCTTTATCTCAAAATTAATAGTACAGAAGATAATCTTATGTAAGTACTTCACTTTGCATACCTACGTTCGGCGGGCCGCTAGGATTGCCAACTTTAAATTCAAATTCATATTCAAACTCATTTATTCAGTCTAGGCTGTTACAAGCTCTTGTGAAAGTCAAACTCTACGCCATCGGTTCGTAAATCTAAAGCGGGAGACCTTGTACTGAAAAGAACCGGCAAGAAACTCAGCTTAATTAAGCTTATGCACAAAAAACAATTATGGTAGTGGCACTCATATCAATTTTTTTTATTAAATATCTAGGAAGAAACCGAAATAACGGAAATATAAACCAATAAAAACTAAATTATTAGGTACCCATATTTTAATTTTTAATCATTTAACTGCTAGTTGTTTAAATTTAAAGAAAATTTATTTATTTTCAAGTAAATATGTGCAAAATATATTTTTTCAACCTAAATGTTTATTAGAATAAGTGTATTTGGAGTCCATTCGCGAAAGTTGCTGATGCGGCAGACAAGTGTGTCTATCCAGTCATCCTTACTTTGCCGGCTTAAATCCAATCTCTTACCTGCTTGAATTGTAGATTTCAGTATTTTTTCATTCACCAACAGTAACAGAGCACCACTGACAGGAAGCATTATTTTACTGTGGTCTCCTGTAACGAAGCCTATTGCATGCTAACTGACGTATTAAAAAAGCGTTGATTATAAACACGCCTAGATATAGTATTAACTGCACGGAAGCGCGAAAAAAATATCAACTTCATATGGTAGAGATACACTCGTCGCTACAGACGCAGAAAGGTAGTATTATTTTACTTTAGTCTTCTGTAAAAAAGCCAATTGCATGATAACTGACGTATTAATAAAGCGTTGATTATAAAAACGCCTTGTTATCGTATTAACTGCACAAAAGCGCGGGAAAAAATATCTACTACATATGGTAGAGATACACTCGTCGCTACACTCGCAGAAAGGTAGTATTATTTTACTTTGGTCTTCTGTAAAAAAGCCAATTGCATGCTAATTGACGTATTAATAAAGCGTTGATTATAAACACGCCTAGATATCGAATTAACTGCACGGAAGCGCGGAAAAAATATCTACCACATATAGTGATGATACACTCGTCGCTACAGATGCAGAAAGGTAGTATTATTTTACTTTGGTCTCCTGTAAGGAAGCCTATTGCATGCTAACTGACGTATTAATGAAGCTTTGATTATAAACACTCCGAGATATCGTATTAACTGCACGGAAGCGTCGATAAAAATATCTACTACATATGGTAGAGATACACTCGTCCCTACACACGCAGAAAGGTAGTATTATTTTACTTTGGTCTTCTGTAAAAAAGCCAATTGCATACTAACTGACGTATTTATGAAGCTTTGATTATAAACACGCCTAGATATCGTATTAACTGCACGGAAGCGCGGAAAAAATATCTACTACATATGGTAATGATACACTCGTCGCTACATACGCAGAAAGGTAGTATTATTTGACTTTGGTCTCCTGTAAGGAAGCCTATTGCATGCTAACCGACGTATTAATAAAGCTATGATTTTAACATGCCTATATATCGTATTAACTGCACGGAAGTGCCGAAAAAATATCTACTACATATGGTAGTTAGATACACACGCACACATTGACTGCTTTAAAACAATCTGACATTAGAGTCATGCACACATTTTGCATAACATTTGCCGTTTTCTTTGCGTAGTTTATTTGGATTGTCCGTGTATATAATTAAATTTTGAAAGACTGCACACTATAATTACGTTAGGTCAACCTCAACTGATATTAATTGCATTGGCATTTGTACAACTTTTGATTTTGCTGTCATAAAGTTTATTTTAGGCTTGATCGAATAAACCACATTTTAGGTAAAGAAACAGTGTTTAATGACTCATTTATCGCTAATAAAATATACTAGACACACTGCTGATATCAAAATATATACATATGCAATATAATATAATGTGAATATAAAATGTGAGGAAGTGTATTTCTTTCTTATATACTAAACAAAAAGGTAATATCTTCCCAGTGTTATCAAAACTTTTATAATACTTATATGGTACACTGTTCAATATAATATAACTTATATAATATACTCTTCACAGCACTTTATAACACGGCATAGCTATTTGATATATGTAGAGACATGAGACTATTCCCAATGTCAACGGACAACGGACATTTGCCTGCTATGACTAGCTTAATACTATAGAAAAAATAAAATATAGCGTGTGTCGTGTCGTGTCATTAAATTGAGTCAAATTTAACTGTAGATGAAACAGTACGACCTAAATCAAAACCAAGATAAATGTCAAAATTTTTACTACCTATATAATCGTTAATAAAATATTTTTGTTAGTAAATTAATCTCCATTTTTCAGTTCCAATGCAAAGTAAACCATCTACTGCAGGGTCCTCCAAAACGTCCGACAAAATTGTCTACTACAAAAAACTTGAAGAAATCTTCTCTACGTGGTAGGTAGTACTTAATGGTACGTTTAATTTTCTTCAGTATCACACCATTAAGGGCGATATGATCACAATGTTGACTAAGGCCGCGTTGTATTATCCATAGTTAACATACTAGAGGAAATAATAACCATTTGTCAAAATTTGACACGTTTACTATGTACTTAACGTGACATTAACTATCATCATTATCACCATCAGCTTATTAATGTCCCCACTGCTGGGGCACCGACCTTCCCTATGGATGGATTAAGAAGATTTAGCCATGACCCACCACGCGGGCCCAGTGCGGAATGGCGGGTGATAACGACTGCAGATGCAGCCGGGACCAACGGCTTAACGTGCTTTCCGAAGCACGAAGGAACTCGAGATAGAAAAATTTTGGTCACCCATCCAATGACCGACCACTGCGAAAGCTCTCTTAACTTCAACGATCGCAGCCGTACACGCTAACCACCCGAGCCATCGAGCTCCTCCATTAACTATATTCAAATTTAACTATGGATGAAACAACGCGGCCTATAATACGTAATGAGCATTTTCAGTACTTTTGAATGGAGTTAGACTTCAAAGCACACCCTGAATATTCCTTTTCAGTTTAGGTCCATCACAAATGCTGGACTAAAAGTCTAGAATTCAGACATCGATATGATCTTTATTACGGAACGCATAAAACTAAACTTTTCCGGTTCCGTATATCATAAAACTCTACAGCTGTAATAATAAAAACTGCGATGTGAACGAGAAAGAAAAAGCAAAATATAATCTTTGTACTGGCCCTTAATAGGGATAGGTAGATAGGATTTACATGGAGATTTCCGAAACGACCGTTAGGAGCGGAGTGCTATATTTACCACAGTCCAAAACGTACGCATAAATCACGCTAATAACAGAAGAGTTTCCTATTTTCTTGTTACAATTTAAAACTTATATTTTTAAGATACTACCCTGTTCTGACTCTCCTCAAGCCTATTGTCAGATAAGTGCTTGCTTAAGAATCTTCCGTTCCGTGAAGACTTGACCATCGAACATTTAAACAACACAACTACAGAAGCAAAGACACTAAATACTCACGGACAAATATGTTGGACATCAGCGTCGCTGGCAGACAAAACACAATCACCAAAATGTCCGCCACAGCGAGGTTTACTATGAAGAAGTTCGTCACAGTCCTCATGCGCGGAGACCGGTAAACCACCGCGATCACGAAACAGTTCCCAATCAGGCCCACCACAAACACAAGGAGATACGCCACGCAGTACACGGCCGTCATCGCCCCACTATGCCTATACATGAACTCGTCACTCACTCCCCCCAAATCAGATCTATTCAGCGTCACGTTCATCCTCAGCGGGTAATGTCTGTCCATCGCGCCGTCCATATGCGTCGACAACGGCTCCAGGTCAGGCAACACGCTGTTCTCTGGCACCAGCTTCGTGTTCATCGCCTCAATTATCGAATTCGAAAGGAAATCCACCAAATTGTGATTCTTCGTATGCCCCTCGTGCGAATGCGAGTGGTTCCTGTGCCTGCCGTGGTGCCTCGTCTCGTGAGGTATCTGCGTGGAGTAATTGAAGAAGTCCGAAAGATCGTCCGTGAACAAATCCGTCGGCACTCTCAAGGGAGCCATGTTCGACATCTAACACACAAACAACATTACACACAAACTCGCCAAAACAAAGTTCACAAGCGCACTAAAAACTTGGAAGTTAGAAAAGTATGAAAAGTTTCGTAGTGTGAGCGTGACGGTTCGTAGCGGGCCTACGCGCGTTGTAGTCGGCGATCGCGCGCCGTCTGCCCGTAGCGCTACGAGCGGCTACGAGGCCCGTGCGACGCATGTGCATGGAATTACAATAACCAACTTGCTTCATTCACTCAAACTCAACCTTATTTTACCATTAATAACGTCTATTTTAGCTGAAATTAGTACTTCCGTAGGCATTCCGGGAAATGGGAAGGTCGTTCAGAATGCATCCAGGCGGCCGAAAAGGTTAGCGTTCCGTGCATTTTGATCGGAGCGATCCATAATTGAATCTTCGTCGTTATGCTATATTGAGTGAAAACCGCTTGAAACACGTACTGGGCCATTTTCTTGATGATTTAAGGCGTTTTTATTCAACTGTTGGGTAAACATTATTAGATTGTTTTACTACTGAACTCTACTCGCAACGTACTGAATATAAAATACTCGCCCTTGAAACCGGATGAATAATTAAAGCACGTACCGATTTATGATAAACACAAACATTCATGCTTTCGTACGTACAAATATTTTATAACACGACACGTACATTCAATTATGTTTTGATCCCAACAAACAATGATAAAATCTTTTCATTGTCTACCACATCGTCAATGATGTAAGTATACCTTCATATAACATTGTTTGTTTCGTAATATCCCACGCTTATTGTTTTGCTACCCAAAACAGGATATGTCTTCGGCTTCGGCAAAATCTAAAAACAGCTTTTGTATAACAAGGTGTGTGGGTCTTAATAACAAAGTTTGTTGAGTAACTTGCTTATTCAACATAGCATTTAGACGTACATTTAAGATAGTATTATTTCACATGAATACCAAAGTGAAATAATACTATCTTATATTGATGATGTTTTTTTTTGTAAATTAATTTAATGTTAATTTATTGTGTGCATTTGTATCATTGATATGGGCTGCTGTTGTCCGAAATAAATAATTTTTATTTTATTTTATTTTATTTTTATTTATTTTTATTTTATTTTTATTTTTATTTTATTTTTATTTTATTTTTTATTTTTTTATTTAAAAAGTAATAGCGAAGTTTTACGTCTTTCACAAGTGCGATTAACAGTCCAGACTGAATAAAACTGAAGTCTTAAACTTACTTGTCACTTGGCCAATCAAATTCGCGTGTTTATTACAAATCCATTTAATAACATCATCATGAGCGCACATAGCGGTTTCTTGGATTTTTATTATTAGAAAGACAAGTAGTAACTCCGTATTTATTGCGAGAAGGAAGGACATAAAAGCCCATAAAAGTTTACGATCTGAAATTATTGTGTTGAAGGTCGATGCACTTTTGTGTACGTACGATAAAATGGCATTCAAGTATCTATCTGATTGCAAGGCATCTCTCTTAGTTGTACGTTTATACGGGACATGTGTAGCAACTGTTATACAAATTTTACTCAAATCTGCATATCAGTGTGACATAATATTCAAGTATAGACGTATTTTCTTATTATCAAGAGTGAAGAAACTTCCACCTTATAGAAGACCATAGTAAAATAATACTGCATTTTGATGGGGGTAAGTTTCAGTCATATTGGCCATATTTGCCGAAGAACCGATAACCGTTGGGGTAGATGAGTTTTGGAGTGGAGACCGCGTCTAGGCAAACGTAGTGTAGGACGTCCTCAGGCACGATGGAGTGACGATTTGCACAAGGTGGCAGGAGCTGGATGCGAGTAGCCCAAGATCGATCTGAGTGGCGTGCAATTGGAGAGGCCTATGCCCAGCAGTGGATAGGTATTAAGAAACAAGATAAAATACGAAACACCGTTATAAGAAGTAAGACAAAAGTCACAGACGTACTTACTAGAATAGATAGTTTGAAGTGGAGATGGACTGGGCACATGCTACGCGGTACACAAGAGAAGTGGAGCAATATTATAACAGACTGGTACCCTAGAGATGGGAGAAGGAACAGAGGAAGACAAAGCAAGAGGTGGGAGGACGAAATAAAACTGACGGCAGGCCCAAAATGGAGAAGGGTTGCTAGAGACACAGTGCAATGAAAACTGTTAGAGGAGGCCTTTGCCAAGAGGCACACTGAACTCAGGGATATTTTATAAATAAAGAGACAAACACAGTACAAAGAAAGAAGAAAGTAGTTCAGGATAAGAGGCTTATTATATTATATTATTATGCCCAGCAGTGGACTAGGATAGGCTGTTGATGATGATGATGATGAGTTTCAGTCGGCGAGTAAGGTTTCAGGGATTGGGTCAGGGTAGACAACGGCGTGATATTATGAGTTACATATGTCGAATGGGCGAGCGGGATAGGCGGTTGGCCACGTGATTCGTCTTGATCCGCCATCTTGGTTATTCAATGATATTTCATTTAATTTGAATCTTCTAATCACTTTAGAGAATCAGCAATGATTGCAAAGGCACAAACGGATTGCTTTGCGAACCGTGGAGAGTTCTGTGCTAACGTCCGTTCACTATCGCGGCTCACGTCTGAATGCCCCTTCCAATGAAGCATAGCCCGTAAATACTACCATTAGCATAGACCAGTCCCAAGTGATGACAGCTGCCACTGTCATTACTTGACGTTTCACAAGGCAATGGTACACTGACTGATGATGTTTGTTGTCAGTTCTACGATTCGAAGGAGCGAGTGAGACGCCATCCGCCGACATATATTTTTTTATTTTTTAAGCATGTAACTGCTTGATGTTTAAATCTAAATAAAATATAACTAGAAAAGAATCCACGCGGACCAGGCAGCAGACGGGACTCGAACCCTCACCCTTTGCGGGTTACCTACAATGCAAAGAGACGGCGTTGCCTTGCAGCTTAAGAATGGCTAGAAGAATTTCGATGCGGCCGTCAGGGCCGCGGCAGCATAATTGGTAAGTGCATTCGCCCGGATAGCGAACGGTTCGAGTCCCGTCTGCTGCCTGGTCCGCGTGGATTTTTTTTTAGTTATAGATTTTGTATCGCAAGTGTAATAAGCTATGGTGGCTGCATACTATCAGGCGAGTCATTATTAGCTGATTTACCACCCTCTTAACCTGAAAAAAGGATTTAAGGGTTGTTTGATCAGGAAATCTCCAAAGCGTAGTATTTAACGCGTTGGGTTTCTTGGAAGTCAGTGCCCCAGTAGTGGGGATATTAATAGGCTGATGATAATGAGGAAGTATTCATATGAGTAGGTAGCGGGCCATCGGTTCAGATCAAACGCATCTAAAATCGCTTCTCCGTAAACGATCTCATAGAATGACAAGCGTTTGAATTAATGGCTATGGTGTTTAAAAGATTAGGTCGCCCGGAGCAATGCATTTTTTGTTATAAATATTAGACGTATACTCACCACGAAGCAAAGTAAAAAAAACTTTTATCGAAGTGCGCGTTATATATGTATAAATGTTTGTACATTTTTTTTCCGACGTTTCGATCAGGTTGCACCGGCGTTGGTTACGGGGTAACAAATTCGTTGCTGTTACGTCTCCGCTTCCGACGACGAAACATCCTCAATCAACACATTATATTTCCAAATGCAAAGGCAGTTGGAAAATAAAGTATTAAATAAATAAAGATTTATTTAATATTGTATTTTATAAGCTTATACAAAAAAGCGGCATAGTGTAACTATTTATTATTCTATGGATAAAATTTCTTTTATATATATATACTAGCTGACCCAGCGAACTTCGTACCGCCCTAAAAAAATAGGGGTTGTCCAGCGGACAAAATTGTGAATCTAAACCATTCTCAGATCCCCTTGAACACACACAAAAAATTTCATCAAAATCGGTCCAGTCGTTTAAGAGAAGTTCAGTGACATACACACTCACAGAAGAATTATATATATCAAGATATATAATGATTGAGGAGGAAATCGTCGAGAGCCAAACCTCGAATTTAGCAATTTTTATACGCAATTTTCAGCGTTAACTACTGTACTCCTAGCACGAATCATTATCGAATTCGAATAGTTTGCAAACCAAAATGTCAATGTCAAATTTTGTATGGAAACTTGAACAGTACCCCAAGCACGAAACAATATCGAACTCGTATCGTTTACGAGTCCGAAATGTCATTGTCAAATGTGTACTGATTTTTAGTTCCCGTTACGTACTTTGTGGCGCTACTGTTCAAGTTTTCATACAAAATTTGACACTGACATTTCGGTTTGCAAACTATACGAATTCGATATTGGTTCGTGTTAGGGGTACTGTTGTCCCTATCGCATGGTATTTGCCATTGCGTGACTGCAATGTTTTTTTCAAACACCTATTTCTCAAATGAACCCGTTAAATTTTATATTTATAAAACAAGTGAAAGTTTCAAAGTGGACGAAGCAATGAACCAAAGCGTCCATAAAATTCAACCAAATTTCTGCGACTACCTTTTAAAAACTACTGAAGACTCTACTACAGTGTTTGCAACATTTTTATCTACATTACCATAATTGCTAAGGGAATCTGATAAGGGTTAATCGCTAACTGCCCACATTTCCTTGTTGCTTGGAAAAAGATAGGTATCCCTCACTTTGCCATTTTATTTATATACTTTGTTTCGAGCTCGGTGATGGGTTTTTCAACCTTGCCTTGGTAATAATCAAAAAATAGTTAGGTACGTTAAGGCAGTTTTGCCACTATCGGCTTTTTCCTCACTCAAGAAATGTACAATATGTATACATTATGTGTAAACACCAGAGATTTATATATTTATAGTTGATCGCCGACTGTTCACACTACCGGCGGCATCTCGCTACACATGTTTGTCGCTGAGCGACGAGAGCTATCAAAAACTGCAAACTATCGGAACTACACACTCGCTCCCCGCTGATCGTCAACTTTCTAGTTTCTAGCTCTACTCGCTTCTCGGTCATCGTCGGCGGTGGGACAAGTGCCTTAAATAAAAGTGGCTGTATAAATAAAATAGAGAAAAGTTTAAGACTATCCTACTAATGTTATATAAATAAAGAAAGAAAGAATTTATTGACTAATGACATTCAACATTAAAAAAAAACATTAATAAAAAAATATGGCACGG